CCCCTCGGGGAGCTGCCCACCCGGCGTCTCCTCGGGGAGCGTCTCGTCGGGGAAAGTGCAGGCGGCATCCAGGGAGCCTCCGGGCCCTTCTTGAGGTCCACCGGGGGGGGGCCTCTTAAGGGGCGCCCCGTGGGAGTCGGGGGCAGCACTTGCGCTGTCTGGACGGCCTCTGGGCCGCTCGTGGCACGGTCCGGGCCGCCCGGTCCCCCCATGCGCTGCTAGGGGCCGGGTCCCCGGCGCCCCCGCCTCGTGCTAAGGGGTATACATATGTATCTATAGATATATAGAAAGAGGTGTGTAAACATGTGGATAGATATATATATATATATACACACATCTATATATATATATATATGGAAATATGTGTGTATATAAATATATGTACGTCTACACAAGACTGCAGTGGCGCTTCGCGCCATGCACCTTTTCCTTGTAGTTTCGAACGCAGGCGGCATGCATGCGCGTGGACATGGGGCTGGCCCCCGGGCGGGCCACCGCCAAGCCGGAATGGGTAAGGAATTCCTAAGCGGGAGCGACTGGACAACACCAGCTGAGGCCAGCTCAGGGCATTTCGGGGCCCAGAGGCGCGAATGCGTCTCAGGCGAGTGGTTGGTCGAGTATGAAGCAAGGCATCCTCCTCCTTTCTCCTCCTCCTCCTCCTCCTCCTCCTCCTCCTCCTCCTCCTCCTCCTCCTCCTCCTCCTCCTCTCCTTTCTCCTCCTCATCCTCATCCTCGTTCTCCTCTCTCCACCTCTTTTTCGAATGCCTCCTCCTCCTCCTACTCCTCCTCTTCCTCTTCTTCCACTTCCTACTCGCACTCTGTCTGCATATTCCCCATTATCATTGTTCTTCTCTCCTTCCTCGTCGTCCTCTTCCTCCTCCTCCTCCTCATCCTCCTCGTCGTCCTCCTCCTCTTCCTTCCCCCTCCTTCTCCCCAATGTGTCTCGCGTTTTCGCTTCCAATCGGCTCTTGCGGTCTCAGGAGGGCCCCAAAAAGCTTCAAAACAGGCTCCAGAGAGGCCCAAGGCTGGCCCAAAAGGGCCCGGGAAAGCAACAATCCAACAGGGCCCGCAGAGTCAGAAACCAGAAAACAAACATCGGAAAAGCAATGCTTTCGGCCTTCTCGCTTTTGCGCTTCTGGATGACTCGAAAGGCGTCAAGATGACCCCAGGATTGCCTCAGAGAGGCGCAAGCCAAGGCCCACAGAGGCCCAAGGCTGGCCGAAGAGGGCCCAAAGAATTTAAAATCCATAAGACACCATTGGACAATCAATGTTGTTGGTCTTCTCGCCGTGTCGCTTCCCATTGGCTCTTGACATCTCTCGAAGCATCAAGATAAGCCCATGGCAGCTCCAAAGGAGTCCCCAGAGGAGCCCGAAGGAGGGCACAGACTGGCCCTAGAGGGCCCGGAGGTTGGAAAATCAATGACAAACCCATGGAAAAAGCAACGTCTTCGCCCTTCTCGCTTTTTCGCTTCTGGTCGGTTCGGGAGGCGTCAAGATAGCCCCAGGATGGCTCCAGAGAGGCGCAAGCCGAGGCCCACAAAGGCCAAAGGCTGGCCCCAAAAGGCCAAAATAATTGAAAATCAATGAAAACCCATTGGAAAATCAATGTTTTTGGCCTTCTCGCCTTTTCGCTTACGATCCGCTCTTGAGGCGTCAAGATTGTCCAAGGACGGCTTCAAACGAGTCCCCAGACGAGCCCCAAAGAGGCCCAAGGCTGGCCGAAGAGGGTCCAAAGAACTGAACATCAAAGAAAAACCTTAAACAAATACGTTTTTGGCCTTCTCGCCTTGTCGCAAACGATCAGCTCTTGAGACGTCGAGATAGCTCCAGGAGGTCTCCAAATGAGTCCCAGACGAGCCCCAAAGAGGCCCAAGGCTGGCGCAGCAGGGCCCGCAGAGTCGAACATCAGAGAAAACAACATGGAAAAGCAATGTTGTCGGCCTCCTCGCCTTTTCGCTTCCGGTTGGCTCGGGGGGGGCGTCAAGATGGCCCCAGGATGGCCGCAGAGAGGCGCAAGACAAGCCCGAGGATTCGAACTTCGTGTGGGGGGGGTGCGCGGGAGCGTGGGCTCCCCAGCCCTACAACAACAAACACATACAGATATGTGTGTATATATATGTGTGCACAGATACATACTCATACACACGTACATACATACATACATGCATACCTACATACATACATACATACATACATACATACATACATACATACATACATACATACATACATACACACATGTATACATACATACATGCATACATAACTACATACATAATTACATACATACGTTCGTACGTACGTACGTACATACATACATGCGTACATACATACACACATACATACATATACATACATATATATACATACATACATACATACATACATACATACATACATACATACATGCATACATACATACATACATACACACATGCATACATACATACATACATACATACATACATACATACGTACATACATGCATATACATACATGCGTGAATGCATGCATGCATGCATGCATACATACATGCATACATACATATATGCATACATACATACACACATACACACATACACATGCACACATACACACATACACACATACACACATACATACATACATACATACATACATACATACATACATACATACATGCATGTATGCATGTATGCATGTATGCATGCATGCATGCATGCACGCACGCATGCATGCATACATACATACATTGTCATGTTCCACACATACACATACCTTCATGCACCGACGCATGTGCATATACATATCCATATACATGCAGCCATACCTGAACATTTACGTATGGAGCCATATACGTAGACATATACACATACACATACAAATACAAGCACCGAAGCATATGCATATACATAAACATCTACATGTACTTGCACATGTACATATGCACAAACATGCATATACTTCTATCGGAGGTTGGGGGGTGAGTTCGACGTGAAACGAAGACCCCCACTACCGGGAAATCGATTTCGGTTTCGGGTTCGTGTCGTGCGTGCCGTGCATGCGTGCGGGCGAGGCGAAGCTGCGTGGGCGGGCGAGAGGAAATCCTCCTGTGGCTGGGCCGCGGCCGGACCAAATGTTTCTCCTCCGGCGGCCGGTGGCCTGGGGTGTCTCGCCGGTGCATGTCCCGCTGGTGTCCCGAAATCCTCCTGTGGCTGGGCCGCGGCTAGACCAAATGTTTCTCCTCCGGCAGCCGGTGGCCCGCGGTGTCCCGCCGGTGTCCCGCTGGTGTCCCGCCGGTGTCCCGCCGGTGTCCCGTGGTGTCCCGTGGTGTCCCGTTGAATGAGATCGATAGTGATATCGATAGTGAGATCGACGTGGTGTCCCGAGGTGTCCCGTAGTGTCCTATGGTGTCCCGTTGAGTGAGATCGATTGTGAGATCGATAGTGAGACCGATAGTGAGATCGAGACATGTCCCGCGGTGTCCCGTGGTGTCCCGTGGTGTCCCGTTGAGTGAGATCGATAGTGAGATCGATAGTGAGATCGACAAGTGTCCCGTACTGTCCCGTGGTGTCCCGTTGAGTGAGATCGATAGTGAGATCGATTGAGTCAGATGTTGGTTCCCCCCCTTTCTGACCCCCCACCACTTCCTTATCACCCGAAGGGTTGCCGTACAGGTATATATATATATATATACATATACATATACCTATACATATACATATGCATGTACACACACATATATATATATATATCCCTATACCTATACGGACACCTATACATACACATGTACATATACATGTGTACATGCAGCTACATAAAGGTAACCACCTACACGATCATATACACCTGCGTATACAAATCTATATATATATATGTATATACACACCTACATTCATACATACACATAGACCGTATACACATACATACATGCATACACTGAGGTACGCGGGCCGTCGCCCTAAGATTGTGCGCAAAGGCTGTTGAACGTCTCACGCTCGCGGACCTACCCCGAAGAATGTCTACTACACTGTGCGCGGTGGCGGTTGCTGCGAACGTGGCTTCAGTGTCATGTTCCAGGAGGGCTGCTGAGAAGCAAAACGTCGCTCACAAAACCAGTCCCCCGACCAATCTGGATGTCCACCCTGGGTAGGTTTCCGAGCCGCTCCCAGCATCCGCGACGAGGGTGATCGCAAGACCCGCCAGAACAAACCCCGAAGGCCGACGACGTCGGCGTCGTCTTCCCTCGTCAGCGTCGTCTTCCATCTTCGTCAGCGCAGTCGTCGGCGTCGTCGTCGTCGTCGTCGTTCCCGTCGTCGTCGTTCTCGTCGTCGTCGTCGTCTTCGTCGTCGTCGTCGTCGTCGTCCATCGTCCGTCGTCCGTCGTCCTCGTCGTCCTCGTCGTCGTCCTCGTCGTCGTCGTCTTGAAGCCCCCTTGTGCGCGCAGTCGAGCAGCGCTGCGCGGTGCCTCGGAGCACTTGGTCTTCCGACACGTGCTCGTTCCAGCGCGCGCTGCACCACCTCTCGAAACTGCCAGGCGGCTGACGCAGACCCAAACCCCCTGGGGCCACGACAACAAACCACGACGGGCAGCTCCTGATCGTGTTCTGCCCCTGGGGGTCATCGCGGGGGGGCCACGAGACCGTCAAGAGCCAACGACTCAGCATGAAGAGCCAGCCTTGGGGAATGGGTCGAGAGCTCCCGGGGTCGACGCGATGAACAAAATCATGAGGCCACCGACCACCCAAACTCAGGCCCTTTAGGGTAGGAGGAGCAGGAGGAGGGGGAGGGGAGGAAGAGCGGAGAAGGAGGAGGAGGG